AATCAATGTCAAGAACAATTTAGTTGGCAGAGTGGGATGAAAAATTAATTTATATTTATTATAATTCTAACCATTTCCCCCCATCTACAGACCACAATAAAATAAAGCATTGCACAATTTCACCCTTATATTATTAWTGGTCAACTTTCATTTTGTCGAGACCAAAGGGGTTATAAATTAATTTGATAAATAGAGTTGTATTAAAACACAACTCAATAATGGGGRTTATTTTAAGAGGATTTCAATAGAGTTCGAGATTAAGTACTAAAAATTCGTGATAGTAAGAATCTACTGTATATGTCCTATGCATACCTAACAATACGACAAAGTCAATACCAAGTAATAAGTGCTAGTGTATCGCATGAATATTTAAATTTAATATACGTACACAAACACGAGCATGGCGTCCCACAAATAGAGGAACGCTGGTAGAGGTCCGTATCCYTCAAATAGATACGTATAGTCGCCGCCTGACCGCGGTATGGACGTACCCAATTCGGCATAACATAGCGCGCCGATCATTGACAGCATGCCGCACATAAGCCACACAACCAAGCTGACACCAACCGATCCAGCCTCGTTCATCACTCCTGATGGCGATATGAATATACCTATATATATCAAACATTCACACACACACATAAATATCAAAAAAGTTCCACAGCAATTGGGTCAAACACTCAAACGTAATATTTTATGAAATATTTTTGTCTAAGATTTCCCCAAATTTGCTACTGTATAATWACGTTTGTTATAATATGCTCATAATAAACATTATAGTATATTACGTATTTAAATCTTAAACATAAAATCAGTTAACTGCAGTAAAAATTGTTGAAATTCTTTTTTTTTTCTAAATAAATGTTCGATTTCCTGGTGATTGGAAAACAATTCTCAAAGCATCAACTTAGTATTTAAAATAAATGGCACTAGGTATAATAATATAATTCTATATAATAAAATATTAAGACTTACATTTTTTGCCTAAATTACCTTCTTCTTTCTAAATAAGTACAAAAAAGACTGACTCGTTTTTCGCCCAAAGTGATATCATAAACAAACAAAAATAAAATATAACAACTACTGTATTTGGATAAGTGCAAAACATATAAAAAAATTATAATATAGCTACCTAGTAATACAATTTTAAAAAAGGCGGGTAAGTCGTGGATGTCGCTCTGCTGTACAGTAGGTTACAAGTGGGTTACTGTAATGGACGGAATTAAATTTGAATCCAATGATATTATATCATTGTATACAAAAAACGATTCTGAGCGAAGACGGTTTATCTATCTATAGGATATATTATAGATTATTAAAAATTTTCAAATCTTAGATTTAAAAAGAACATTTTTTAATAATTTCTAGTTTAAATTAATTTGCGAACTTTCGTGATTTTTACATAATATGTTGTTAAAATTCAAACTTTAAATGCCTGTGAAAAAAAATTGTGCCAATATAATATATATTTCTTTTATATTTCACCTGCTATTGTAAAAATA